GGAACACTTTAAAAAGAGCAATCATTTTTTTACCCGTTCCTTTGGCTGTAGTGGTTTGCTCTGAAGTGGTGTGCTCATGTCCCTTTGAGCAGCTGTACTTGGTAATAGGTCCACAAGCCATTTGTACTTACTCTCAGCTCTGCGTCTCCCGACCTTAGCAGACCTTTGAACGCAGCCACCAGTTCACATTGGCTGCAACCTCGCTATTCCACATGAAGCAATGTTCAAGGTTTAGCCTGTGTTAGGAAAAGCTGGCTGGCACAGCCAGACCAGCAAACTGTGCCTGCGGACTCAGATGTAGCTTGAAGCAGCAAAATAAAGAGTGCTTCTTGCCAGTGTAGTTGGAATGGAGTGAGTTGTACTGGCAATGAGCTGTTGTCAGAGAACTGTTACCTGGGTTTCCTGCTTGTATAAAAACATCATTAAAAATAATCATATCCACAAGTGACATTCCTGACCCCACAAACATTTCAATACGTGGCCTTGGAAAAACAGAGAATGTGAAGGAGTCAGAGAATGAAAAAAAGAAAAAGGGTAAAAGACTTCGAAGAAAGGCTCACAGGGATCAAAAGTTACAAAGACAATTGCTGACAGCAATGAGAAACACTGGCGACTTCAGACATGGATCGAAGAATGATTGAAGGGCATGAAGGAGCCGCTCAGGAGCCCCCCCAGCAACCTATCATTTAAAGGACAGCATCTTGTTAGGCCTTTTTCATGTGACACCTTATTTGCCATTCCTGTATGTTCAGATCTCTTGACATTCTCTCTGTACACACAGAGAATCACAGAAGCCCACTCAGATGCATGGGCCATGAGACGGGTAAGCTGGGAGCAGCCCCCCTGCTCCCCACACATGCATTTGTGTGGGTAAACCAAACCAGGAGAGGCTCCCGCTAGCAGCAAACATTATGGCATTGTCCCTGAGGCCCTGTCTCAGGAAAGGAACACAGCTTTGGCAAGGTCAGGTGAAGGGGCTCTGGAAACACAAAGCTATCCAGGCAGGAGCTTTAAGAGGCTGGAAATGTGTCAACAGATTCAGCCAAGTCCCTCAAGCCCCAGCAATTCAGGGCACTATCTGCAGATGACTCGTCCCCAGGATGTCCTCTAGTGAAAAACAGAGTGAATTGTGCTCACCCTGCAGTACTAGTTACTGAGGAGATAAAGGGAAGCAATACCCTGTATTACTCCAGGGTACATTCCCACATAACCGCTCCTGTTCTGTGGTAATCTAGTTAGCACTGACCCTTTGGTGACAAGAAGGTAGCCCACCTTACCTGGACTGCAGAGCAAGCTCAGCTGCGAAGTGAAGACCCCCTGTACATCCACCCCGACCTTCTTCCCCTGTGCTACTTTCTCCTTCCAGCTGTAGTCCTAGGGGCAGAAGATTCAGAGCAGACACTTGAAGGGTAGCTGCCTTCCCTAGGAAGAGACTTCAATATCTTCTAGCTCTGGAAGGCCCTGTAATTTTATAAGCATTCAGGCACAGTAGAGTTTTGACTTAAATTGTGGCTTTTCCATAGGAGTCTGCTAGGCTGAGTGACAGTGCATAGCAAAACTTCTGCACAAATGAGACAGCCTCACCATAAATTCTGCTTAACAGATGCACACTGAGGCTGATAACACAGTTTGATATTGCAAGTGTGATTCTCAAGAGAAGTGTGAATGACAATGGGTTTCATTTAATGAGTAAAAGGACTAAGTGTGGGGGTTTATTATTTTATGTCTTTTATGAATTGCTTTCTAAGTACTGGCTTTTCTCTAGGACATTCATCCATGAACTAGTCAGTGGTGTACAAGCCTGGATAGCCTTAAGTAAGAGGAGCATACAGAGATTTTAAAATAAGAGCTGGTGAAGTATGAATTTCCTACTGAAACAACAAATGTGACATGAGAGGCTGCCCAGACACCAGGCCTGCTGTTCACAGCAGAGGCTTGGAAAGGCTGGACCTCACCCTCCAGGAAGGGCAGGTGTCAGGAGCAGCATCCTCTGCAGCTCCCCAGAGAGGACCTCCGAGGTGTCCCTGGCAATGCAGCTTTCCTCCATTTCCGCTTTGGAGGTCAGAGGTAGAATACACTGCGTTTCTTAACTAGCACTTTCTAACCAATACTGCCCTTTTCCAAGGTGGTTACAAACAGAAGGATCTGTTGTCTGTACAGCAGCAGAAGATTTAGAAAGGTCCCAGGCAAGACATGAATACCAGAGCAGTGTGCTGGCATCTGCTGTACTTTGATCCCACTGACATCCTCCCCATCCTCTTGCCTTGGCACCTCATTGCATCAGCCCGGACATCTTACAGGGCTTACAGTGGCCCCCAGGGCATGAAACAGAGCCAAAGCCTGATGTGCACATGGTGCCACATGGCACGGTGCTGGCAGCTGCCTCAGTGCCCATCTGGGTGTGCAAAGCAGGGTGGTATGCACAGCCTGTCAGCACCACAGCAACACTCAGCACCAGGGAAAGGCAGCACTTGAGAATCATTGCCTTGTGCTTTGAAGTCATCAAAACCAAATTAAAAGAGTGTGAAAACTGAGGCAGAGCAGGGATCATAGAATCAGAATGGTTTGGACCAGAAGGGACCTTAAAGCTCATCTCGTGCCAACCCCCTGCCATGGGCAGGGACACCTTCCACTAGACCAGGTTGCCCAAAGCCCCATCCAACCTGGCCTTGAACACTGACGAGGACGGGGCATCCACAGCTTCTCTGGGCAACCTGTGCCAGTGCCTCACCACCCTGACAGTGAGGAACTTCTTCTTTGTATCTAATATAAATCTACCCTCTGTCAGTTTAAAGCCATTCAGGATCGTATGTCTTGGAAGTTGGAAAGATTTTTATGAAATGTCATATATTTTTACTGTTTCCCTCCACTTCACTGCATGCCATTCACAGGATATAGATATCTTTAAGGCTGCATGGCATAATGTAGCATTCAAAGAACGTTACAACAGTTACCTTCATTTAGGCCAATTGTTCCTACTGAATCAAGACATTTTATCTCATTTTCTAGATTAAATGGGTTCCTTGGTATGTCATCAAAGCATCAGACAATAAAAGCAGGAGACGCTTTGTTCTAATAAGTAAATGTTGTGGCACATGCAGAACTACTGGTGTCATTAGTAGGAAAAGAAAATCCAAGCGCAGAGATAAAAATTCCAGCCCAGAGTTTCTGAATTTTGTCAGAGAATCCCAAAGTTTTCTAAAGATTGAAACAGCAGTAGAAGAGAAAAATATAAAGAGCTTTTTTTGGTTTCTCTCTAATGGAATTTTCTGTGCTTTGTGTTTACATGATAAAAGTATTTTAATTTTCAAAAAAAGCTCCACAGGCAAAGCCAGTGGGAAAAAAGCTCTGTGGGCTGGGTCAGGCAAACAGAGGAGCGATGAGACACTGCAGAAGTCGCTGGCAGGGGATGAATCTGTGCGCTGGCGAGAGCGGTTATCTGCTGCATCTGGCTTGGGCTCCACTTCATGCAAGAAGTCCTCCTTTTGAACAGGGAGATACCAGTCACGATGACTCCACCAGAAGAAGAGGCAGCCTCCCAGATTTGCTTATCTCAATCTTTTTGGAGCACCCCAAACTTCCTTGGCAGCGGTAGCCAAACAAGAGCTGTAAAACACTGTTTTCCCTGGTCTGGTCGAACTTGCAACTCAGCATATGTGGTGGGGAGCTCCCAGAATAGCTCTCGGTTGCCTCACCAGTCTCAGCAGCAGCAAGGAAAGCCTTTTGCCTTCTGGGACAACTTGGAGAAGTTTAAAATGCTTGGACTTATTTTGAAAGTACACTGGAAGATAAGAATGAACTATTCCAAGGCTGGGTGAACTGAAGGTCACAGCTAAGGCATTGCACAACAGAACCAAGTCAGTTCAGCACAAAACTCGCACAGGATTTGATCAGCTCATCGTTGCTACTGCTGCCTCTGCCTAAATTCAGGTCAAAGCTTCCACCAGGCACCTCACTGGGCCAAACGCTCTCATTGTTTGTCCTAAATACCACTGGGGTGATGCCAACGAGGTGGAGGACACAGGTCCTTCCCTGCCAGAGCGTTGCTGGAGGAGCCTTAAGAAAAATCAAGCAAAGCAGCTCCATTTCCAAGGAGCAGCTGTAATTGCTGCCAGACAAGCACCCTCTGACCCTGGGAAGGCTTCTGCGCTATTTTATCTTGGTCAAAGTCTATTTCCTGACTGGATGTTGTAATGTTTCAGGCTATCTCTAGTTAGGACAACGCTTGAAGAGCTTTGGCTACGTTAAATAAGGGATATCCCCAAGCAGCTCTTTATGCTGCAGTACTTGGGCGCAAAGCTCCCACAGGCTTTGCCCGGCTGACACAGCGCTCATCCCCCTGGGGTCATGGGAACCCTCTCCCTGCTGCAAGGAAAGTCTCCTCTTTCTGCAAAGTATCATCACTTGCTCTGGAAAAACGACTCCAAACCCCCCATATACATCTGTGGCTTGCCGTCGGGGGGGAGAAGTGTTTTCCGCCAACATGGCTCATGTTTCTGAGCACGCTCTCCCGCGCCTTGGCCAGAGCCCTTGCTATAACTTTCTGCTGAAGTCAGGCTGCTGGTTTTCTTACCCCAAATCCCAAATGGGTGGTTTCAAGTACTCCAGGCGTTTTTCAAAGACAGCTTGAAGCCCAGCCAAGCCCGCAGGGGGGTGTAACGATGTGCAGTTGGGACAGTTGTCTCCCGGGACAGGCAAGCCAGGCTGCAGCTGCGGGGTGCAGCCGCCACCCCAGAGGACAACAATCCTGACCCCAAAAATGAAGTGAACTTCGTGACGTTTAGCAGCAGTAAATGATCCCATTAGGGGTTATCTGACCACCAAAACTATGCTGGCTTGGCTGAAGTGCATTTACAGACTCAAGCAGATGCAGTATCAAGCCCCCTCCCCAGCCCAAGCCCCCCTACCAGCCGGTTTCACCCATTTGGAAATCACCGCTTCTCCAGGGCCTGCGTTCAGATCTCTGTCCATGACACAGCAAAACAGAGCGAAAGCAAATGTGCAATGTAGAGATCCATTATGCTTTATTTACATGCGTCACCATCTCTTTTACAAACTAAATTACAATTTAAAATGGAATACACAAGGCAATATCTACTAACACCAAGTGGAGTAAGCACTGCATCTCTACTTCGCTCGGAAAGGGGCAGGTTTTGCTCCAAAACAAACTTCCTTCCAACCTCTGTGTAGTAAGGTAGTATATTCCTCCAGGGCAGCATCTTTTTTTCTTTTTCTTAAAATATAAAATCCTCAGTAAGACTGCAACGTGACAGTGTCTGCTTTCAAATGAAAGTACAAGATAGCCCAAATGAAAAGTATAAACTGTTCAGCTCTTCGGTATGTAACGACGGCCATGCGCGATAAGGCTGTGGATTTAATATTCTTCCAATTTACATGGCTTGAAACAAAAACAGATAAAACAGTTCTACAGATACTGTATACATATTTTTTTCCAATCATGCAACTTTTTTTTCCTTAAAAAAAGTTAAACATGTGAAGCCAAATGTACAATCCATTTTTTCCAGCCCATAGTAACGAAATGTATCTGGTCCCCCTTCGCATGTGTTGGCAATTCCAAAGGTATGTCATGTACTGGAAACGCTTACAGGACACCAATTGCCAAGCAATGACATCATTTTAGAGAAATACATGACCTAAAAAAGAACTTTTTGAAGCGGTGGCACAAAAATGTCTGGAGTTAAGCAGTGGTCAACTATCCCACTATTGTCAAGATAACATTTTTTTACAAAATCATTGTATCAAGTCCCAAACCTGTGACTAGGAACTGCATAAACGTCACCTTTTTAGACCTTTTTTTATACCAAGTGTTTAAACAGTGACTATGTCTTTGTTCTGCACCTTTATCTGCTTTACACAGTTTCAGAAGGAAAACTTCTTATCATAAACATGTTCAAAGACTCAAAGGCCAAATTTTCAAAAGGTAGGCTCCCAGAATTAGCCATTCAAGTCTGTATTTTGACACCTAAGTAAGCGGCCCTTTGAATTCAGTGAGATTTATCTAGCACCTCTGGAAGGGAGGGTGTTGCTGGGCACCTCAGCGGGTGTAGAGGGTGGTGACCTTCCTCTGGGCCTGAGGGGACCTGGCACCTCTCCCTCCTTCAAGAAGCAATGAGGGCAGAGCCGCTCACCCACTGCAACCATGCTGGAGTCCCTGACATTGGGTGCCTGACTCCAGGCATTCCTGCTTGAAGATTTTGGCCCCAAAGATGGGCAACAGAAACCAAACCAAAGAGGTTGGCCAAATCCACTCATCTTCAATGAGCGCCAGCATGTTCTCCAAAGCAGGGGCCCAAATGGTCCCAGCCCTGCCAGTGGAAATGCTGCCCTTGACACTGCTGGGAGGCAGGTTAAGCCTTTGGGATGCTAATGCTTTCCTTGTTTATTTATTTATTATTCATTGCCTGCCATTGATAGGCTGTCTCTAAATCAAGGGAGTTTTCTCCATTTCCTAAATAGAGCAGACCATCATTTTCTCTCTCATTTCTGCCAGCAAAATGTAGCTCTGTTGAACTCCACGGGACTAGCCTCCCATAGCAGAGCAAAAGTTGCTCTCATCTGGTTTAAGGTAATGGTCCTTCCCTTGTCTTTGACAAGAACTGCATCTATACCAAGAGAAAAAAATGAAAGGATGGATTCTGGTCACCTTGGCCATATCACCAAGTCAGGCCTTACTGGTGCTGTCAGCGACCTGGCCAATGGTGTTCAGGCAGGCACCCAGATCTCACCAGAGGCTCACCTGTGAAGGGGCCAAATGCTGTGTCCCAGCACAGGGAGCCACAGTGTGAGCTCTGGTGGCAGCCAAAAACATGAGGCACGGGAACAAGCTCAGCTGCAGGGCAGCAGCCACAAGAACCTCAGGGGAAGCAGCACCAGAGGGAAGTCCTTCAGTGTACAGTCATGTTTTGGGTTGTACTGGGAAGCTGAGAGCTAATGCTACACATCGGAGGAGGCTGCTGAGAAAGCTCTTGACCAGTTTTGGTAGAAGGTGCCTGGACTCCGATGAGCAATGCAACCTCTAGCCTAGGTGGCTGCTGTACAACATGAGCATCCTGGGCAGCTGGCTGCTGATCGAGATGGGCAATGAGCATCACCTAACTCCAATAAACACAATAAACTAGTCCCCACGCTGACAAATAGACCACCTCCGTGTGAAAAGAAAAAGACATTTGTATAAAAGGCAAACGATAAACCCTTGGCTGCTTGGAAGAGTTGATATGCTACAGGGCTACGATTACCACAACTGCACAAATTCTACACAGTCATAACTGCGGGGAGAAACCAGGAGGTGCATCTTTACAGCGTGGGGGCTACGATACAAAACCAAAACTTCCATCACACTAGGAGCTGTTGTTTCACCAATATCACCTTGGGGACCTGGAACGTAAGGAGCAAGGAAAGGCCCACGAATGCTTGTGTGTGTGTGTGTGTGTGTGTGTGTGTGTGCGTGCGCACGTGACTGTGCATGTGTGGTGTCAGTGGCGAGAGGGAGTCACTCCACATTGCATGGGACACGGGCCAGTGGGAACTCATGCACTGAGACTTTGGGTTAAAATGCTAGTTTGTTTTCCTAACATCCATGCATAATGATCCATTTCTGTACATAATAAAATATATTTATATATTTATACGCATAATGCTTTTATGCAAACAAAAAAAACTTCATATATCGCTTTGGAGAATTAGGTATACACTGTCCTATTCAGAACCTCTTCATACTGAGTTCCTATGTACCATTGGTGTTTTCCCCTCTTTGTATCCCTCCCCCCCCAAGATACTAATAAAAAGTAATCAAACTTTCCAGATTATAGAGAGGATCTATACAGCACCATACCTTTTATTCATTATTATTATTATTAATTATTATTCATTTTACAAAAGAAAATCTTAGAAGCAAAATATATAAAACTGCCTTGTCTTTCAGTGTCATTTATCCTGTTACAATCTATGCTCACAAGAAAAGCCATTTGTATGATACTGTCACCTTGTCATTCCTTCTCCTGCTTCTCCTGCCATAACAGATTATACGTAGTAAGAAGGAAAAAATAATCAAGGATATGTCCAAAACAAACAAACAAAAGGATCACTGATGTAGTAATACACCCTGCGACAACCTGTGCCTCAACTCCTGGCATTGCCACTGCAAGTCCCCTGCTGATGCCCAGCCTCTAACCTTAGCTTTTCTCCAAAGTGGCATTATTTCTTTTCATTTTTGCTTTTCCAAGCACATCTTTAGAGGTGGCTATGTTCAATTTGTCTGGCAGCTCAGCTTATAACTCCCTACCAGCCTGCTGCAGCAGCAGGGGCAGCCTTGCTAACTTAAGGCGGGAGAGGAGCCTGTTCCGTCAGGCTTTGCCTCCATGCATGTGCAGACAACAGCACCCGCTGTCAGTCCATCCTCACAGGCCAAGAGGCAAACTTGCTGGCTTCCCTGGTTTTGCGATCAACCCTGGTTTGACACTTAACAGAAAACAGGGGTGTACCATCAAACTTAAGGGAAGAATAAGAAAGAAACAAACCAACCAATCCAACAAACAAACAGACCACACACATCACCTCTCTCTGGAATTCACCCGGTTGATGGGTAATAACAAATGCTGTATATTTAGAAACCCCTGACGTCTGAACAATATTTCCTTGCTTGTGCACAGTACTCCAGATTCCCCAGGGAGAGAAAGCAAAAATGGTCAAAAATCTAAAGGAAATCAAACTGGAGTTTGCAGAGAGGAGGGTGGGCAGAAAGGAAAACCTCCAAAAAGAAAAGCCAACTTAAAACATCCCATAAACCATTAATATATTGAAACACCACATACTCATTGATAAGTAACTACTGTAAAGGCTACACAGTGTGTTCTCAACAGGATGGTGCTGAACATTGTCTCCACAGCAGGTGCTTGGCCATCCCAGAAAAGGAAGATTTTGCATACTTCAGAATTAGTTCAAATCTCAAAAAAAAAAAAAAGAAAAAAAAAAAGAGAAAAGAAAAGAAAAAAGAGGATCTTCACTCCGATAAGGGGCTGTTAACAGTCTGCTTCATTAGGAAAATAATGCAGGGTTCACAAAGGTCGTAAGCTGTAAACAGTATCACTGTCCACTTGCTGACAGCAGATTTGGCAAAGGGTTCTCTTTCTACATCTTGTGTCAGTTTGAGGGCCTAGAGAGGAAGAAGAAAACAGAAAAGACAAGTGAGACTGTTGCATGTAGGAACAAAAACACAGAACAAAAAGGTCAACCAGGCAAACCTCCAAACCCAACAATAGTTTACACTGACAAGTGATTTTGATCTGTTTGCACCCAGCAGCTTCAAACTTATAGCAAGGAGTGAGTTGCACTGTGATCCCGCCTGAAGATGCTTCTCCCTCACCAGGGCTTGAGTGTGCTACTTTGCTGGCTTAGATGCTCCCAAGCAGGAAAAGAAAACCCTTTCTCCAGATCACCTGTTCACAGCATAACCAAAAGGCTGGACAAATCTTCTGACAAGTGTTTGACATTAACCACCATGCTTGAAGAACAGCTGAAGGAGGCTGCTCAAGAGAAGCAGTGAGGAGCCATGGATTTCAGTTGGACCTTTGGAGTTTTCCATTTTCCTGCTCATATGACACACCATCAACAGACAGGGTTGACCCAGCTTTATAAACAGGGGTAGTGTCCAGCTTGTTCTGTAGCCACGAAACTTCAAGGCAGAGGGAAAGACACCTTGGATGCAGCATGGAGACGACTAAAAAGCAAGATGGTAGGTAGGTAAAACACTGAAAACAATCATTTCAACTAAGGGAGCCAAGGGGACAGGTTTTTAAAGGTACTCAGGGCCCTAGAGATGAACGCAGGTGCCAAGTAGGGTTTTGGAACGTACACACATTTAAACATTCACACGAAATCCTTTCACATCTTCAGCAGCTACTCGTGGTAGCCATCTGCTCTGCTGGGCATGTAACTTTTGCTTCTGAAATGGCTTCTGAAAGCCATTGGTGTGGGCTTAGTCCCCACAGCCCCTACAACTCGTTGAGGATTTTCCCCAAGGTGAATGATTGGTGACTTTTTTTACACAGTGCAAGCACAAATGGAGACTTGCTGAAACCAAAAAGCCATCTGAGTTGATTACAGGAATGTCTTTATTCTCAAAGATCCTGGTATCAGGCACACTCATGAAAAATGGTGGATTTAGCATAACTGCTGGATTAATCAGGAACTGCACCTCCTGCAATGGAGATCACTTAAAGGCTGTCACGAGATGACTATCACTGTCTCTCTCCATTCTAAGGTGCCCGGCATGGATACTATGATAACATTTTAGTAAAATGACCTATTCTGATAATGCTAAATGATTGACGGAAATTTAATCATTTTGTCTCATGGTTATTAGAGCAACAGCATGACAGCTGCTCCCTGTGCCATCAGGGAAGAACTTCATTCAGCAGAGCTTAGGAAGCAGACAGATTGCATGTTTCACCCAAACAAAATTTGGCTTTAGCCTTAATTATGGGGAAGGGTTTGGGGTAGACTGTTTTGTGAGTAAAGGGATTTCCGCCTGGATCAACATATTGATTTCTTCATTTTCAAAGGGCAAATTAACGCTAGCCGTTCGTTAATGTGACTGCCTGGCAACCACTCCATTTGGTGTGTCCTGATGGCCGTAACAAGGTCAGCAGAAGATATCCACCCAGACAGGCCTGGTAGCCCCCAGTAAAACCTGGTGAGCAGCTTGTATGCCGCTCAAATGAGTGCATGCCCTTTTCTCTTCTTCTCCTTAAAGTCTTAGCACCAGGGGGCTGGAAGCGGGCGACTTCCCAAAGCACAACCTCATCTGAAGGAAGGCAAGGCTCACTTCCTGCACGCAGCAGCCCAGAAAGCTGGCTTGCTCTCAGGCAGCCACTAGTTTTGCTGAGAACAGGTTTAGCTTCAGCTCATGTGAGGAGTCCTGCTGACTTTGAATGGAGCCATTAACTGAAAGTAAATGAGTACAGAAACTCCAGAGAAAGTACCAAAGTGCTACTAGAGTAGAGTTCGATGTTTAAATTAAAAATTCATGGAAAATGTAATATGAACCAAAGTGATAAGAGAAAAAGCTGGAGGACAGATGATGATGGGCACCATTTGTGGAAGTGGCATTGCCCTGTATATTTTCCTGAGGACACCCATCCTGCAGACAGTGCCAACGTTCACACAGCTGAGGTGAAATCTGTTCAGCAGAACTAAACCCAACTTCAATTTCACAGTTCTGTTTACAGGGACTTTGCAAATGGATTAAAAAATGAAAAGAAGCAGATCAAAGTCTCAACCTGCCTGCCTTCAAATTACCCCATTAAAGTCCACAATAGACTCACAAACTCTCGCTTTCCGTTCTCTCCACAAAAAGCCTCTGCTAACCCTGATCTAGTGGCCTGCTGCTTCATAGCCATGAAAACTGTATCAGGCAGGGAAGCAACAACTCCAGCTACATCTCCATTTATCAGTGGTCCTCAAGCACAACTCCCCAGTGGTCCTCTCTCCCTGTCCCAGAATATCTCCAGCTGCATCCTGAGCCACCATGAGGTTTTTTCACATTCCTGACAGCCATAGGGAAAAGCTCATCCTCCGGAGTGTCTCCCTGAGTTTGCAGAGGTAGATGAGCAAGCCAGGACAATGCTGTCCTCTAAGGGCAACACACTGCTCTTCACGCAAAGTACTCCAGTCCCTACTTTATCCTTTTTCTTGGTCTTTACTATTGCGTACTGCTTTGGGGGATAAGAGCAGCAGAGGTATGAGCACAGGGAGCGACGAAAAAAACCCAAACAACAGAACAGAGGGCAAGGAAGGGTACAACAAAGGTGAAGTCTAGCCTGCTCAGTAGGTTAGAGCAGCGTTTGCCAACTTGCCACCGCAAAGGTGTAGAGCCCCCACCTACATGTGGCATGGTTTCTTGTTTCTCAGGCTGCCCAAAAAAGGGCACTACTGGAAAATATCTGCCTGTACTTCTTAAGTCACACCTTGGAAAATTCAGTTTTCCCTTGAAAAGCTCCTCTGCCAAACCTGAAGCCCAGCTTCAATCATCAGGGAGTAGAAAGGAAGGAGGAATTTATACTTTCTTAGAGACTTCCTTTTCTTAAGACTTTGCTCTGAAGACAGTGAAGGCTTTTTTCTAGAGTGCAGCCTTCATAAATGCATTGATTTCTGGGTTCTGTTGTACACACACAGACACACACGCTGGCTGTTTTGACCTCCTCGGTATATAAGGCTGATCTGCTGGACACCAGAAAAACCCATACTACTATACCAAGCTACAGCTTATGCAAACATACATGCATATGATTGGTGAAAATAATCACTTTAAAACACAAACAGAAAAAGCATTTAGTTAGAGGTGAGGATGAACTACTGCTTTCTCATGTCCCACAGATGTTTTGAATCATAGATTCTGTTTATCTTATTTGGTGGAAGAGTGCCATACAAAAAGCAAGTATTTCTGTAGTTTCTGTTTCTTCAGCTCGCAAGCAACTATGTGGGAGATAAAATGCCCCTTCTGTCTTTTTCTCTGCTTTCCCATCCTCTACTGTACTACTGACCAGTTACAAATGCTGCTCTTGGTTTACTCTATGGCCAAGCCGTTGGCTGTGATTTCTCTCCAGCAGCAACATTTCCTCATCTCTGTCTCCAATCATTCGACCACTTAACTGGATAGCTGTCTCCCAAGCCGCATGCCAGCTCATGCACCATCAGACCAGCTCTGAAGGATCACCTTCCATGTGTTGCTTTCTCCTTTTGATTCCCAGTGGTGCCAATTATGCAACAATTGCATAATATAAAGTGGAAATTTCTTCGGAATAGGAAGGTGATGCATCGATGCTCCCCAGAGTGAGGCACAGATAATATGCACTGGCAGCAAGTTTATCAGTAAGCTAAAATAACAATCAGCACATACAGTTTTCTGTTAAATAGCTCCTTTATGTAATTATGGTATAAGAAGCCACGCTACTAACACACAACTCCTCTGTACAGCAGCCTACCAAGGACATGCTGATTTGACTGGAAGGCTTCCTGTTCAGTGGACTGCCTCTTGAAAAGTATCACCACTTGGAGGTCTGTAAAACAAGCGTTTTTCCTGGGTACCACTCTGCAACAACTCCCCAGGCAGAGGAAATCCCAGTAACTGCTTTTACTGTCCAGAGACTTTGGAAGCAAACATTTGGGAGTAAACTTGCATCCTTTAGTCACAGATGTGTATTCATCTTGGTGCCTCTGCCCCTTCATTTGTCATTGCCACCAGCAATGCAGTTTCTACTCAAAAATGGGGGTAGGCTCAAAAAGCAAGACTTGATTATGTGGGGTTACAAGTTAATATTCTGCCTGAGGTTTCCCAGCTAAAGACTGAAGAATACGCAGTATTTATTTAGAAACATGTAGGGAAGACAACTACTGTGGCTAATCACTCCATACTGCCAAATTGCAGCACCAGATATTTTGTTCAAGCAGAATAAAAATTAGGAACTCCGATGCCATGGCAGGTGGGCCAGTGACACCACATGGGCTTCATGTATGATGCACTAGGACGGATCTGTGCTGAGAGACAACACTGAGGTGATGGTGAGAAGCCCAAAGGGGAAAAAAGAGCTGGCAACTTAATGTGTTTTCATGAACTTTCAGGCATGTTGCAACTTCACTTTTTCTAAGTTCTCACAAAAATAGATCCTTTCTTAGCTCAGAACTGGGGACAAAGAGTGAGGGAGAAGGATGGAAAGAGGAAGAATGCTGGCACAGAACTAAAAATTATGGGAGCTAGAAAGTTGCTGTGCTGGTACTTGTGCATGCACATAAAGCACAAAAGTGTCTCTTTTCCTGCTGCTGTTCTTCCACTCAAAGAAACACTGCAAACCACAGCAGACAATCAAGTATTTTGGCAGTAAATGTAACTAAAGACAGGAGATCATTCTCTCACTCTGTAGCAGCTCCCTCAGACAAAAGGCTTGCCCAGAACTGTAGTGAGGTGCCACAACTACAGATATGTGTGATATCCCACTTGTCTACAGAATCACAGAAAAGTCCGGGCTGGAAGGGACTCGGCATCATCTGAAGGCAGAGCCTTAGGTTAGGTTATTCAGGCCCCTGTCAAGTGAAGTCTGGAATATTCCCAGCAAGGGAGCATTCACCACTCCTCTGGGCAGCTCATTTTACTGTCAG